GTCTCCATACCAAATGTTAGACTCCTGGTCTCCTACACGAATCTGGCTCAGAGAATGCCACAGCCAAGCAAGTCCCCTCGGTGACAGAGATGGGGATTTCTCTCACCTGGTCAGTTTCCTCTGCGAGGAATGACCTTCTGCCGAAGGTGGGGGTCCTCCGATGAAACTGCTTAGCACGATAATCCCGTTACAGGACAGGTGCTCAGGGCCAGCCGCACACTCGAATCACCTGGGGAGCTTCTAATGCTCGCTACTACCTGGGCCCTCGCAATATCCTCCATCATTCGATTGCTTGGCAAATAGGAATGGGAAGCTTACTGTGTGCCAGGCATTGTTCTAGATTCCGGAACACTGTTCTAGGTGTCTTTCTTGGAAAGAAGGAACTATTTATTCCTGGGTATAAGCCCCATCCACGCAGGCAGACCTTCCAGTTAGCTTTTAAGCGATCAGTCCGGGATCATTAGACATTAGAGGAAAGTTTTTTTTTTTTGGTTGTTTTTTGTTTTTTAACAAGCATGAGATTTAAAAACAAAAACTAAGAGGAAATCTGAGGGGAAAGAACTGTGCAGGGAATAGAGGAACACTTCAAAGAAGCTGTCATTGAGATCTGTAGAGAGTTGGAAAGATTTTCATCTGTGAAACGAGAATAGGAGGTTATAAAAAGAATATTTCAGAGATTTTTAAAGAGCTCTTGGAAATTAGAAATTTGATGGCAGACATAAAAATTCAGTGTATGGGTTGGAGGATAAAAGGAGGAAATTTCCCAGGAAGTAGCAATTTTTTTTTTAAGGAGGGAAAAAATAATTAGAAATTCAATCCATGAAGATCCCCTTCCAAGTAAATAGATGTTCCAAAAGAGGAGAGAAATGATTTTTTTTTAATTCCAGAAAAACTGCTCAGAACCAAAGGACATAAGTTTCCAGATTGAGGTGTACTGAAAGCCAAGTAAAATGTATGAAAAAAAAAAAAACAACTCACAGCATGATATATGAAAATGAAATTTCATTACAAGAGAAAGGACATTACAAAGAACAAGGAGATAATCCTAAAAACTTTCAGAGAGGGAAATAATTACCTTCAAAGCGTCAGGAATTAGAAGGAGAGACATCTCAATGGCAATATTGAACCTAAAGAGCAATGTGTTCCAAATTCTGAGGGAAAAGCATTTCCAACCTTCATACCCCATCAAACATGCAAACTTGGAAGATCTTAAAAAACTGATTATCCACGTACTCCTTCTCAGAAACTTCTAGAAGTTGTGTTTTACCAGAAAGAGAACAGAAACAAAGAGGAAGATGTGAGTCTAGAACACAGGGGATGCCATTTGGGACAGAGGCAAGTATCAGTACCCAGCAGGATGAAGAAAGGGGATTTCAGATGATGGGTGTGTGGCAGGCCTCAAAAGCAGCAAATCCAGAGCGGAAAGGAGCCCAGAGGGCCGGTGAGGGAGAGAACCAAGTGGAGCAGTATGTAGCTGCAGTATTTAAGAATACATCCAAAATGTTGAAAGCTGTTGTCTTGGGGCACAGAAGTTGAGTTTGGTGGAAGGTGGGGAAAGTGACTGTTGTTTCTAGTTATAAGCCTTATAGAAATATTTGACTTTGAAAATTATGTACATGTATTGTTTTGATAAAGAAAAAAGGGAAACTCAGGTCTTAATCAGATTCCAGAAGGAGAACCCAGGACTAAAAGGCAGCAAAAGTACTTGGTGAAACCACTGGGAAACAGAAGAGTTGATGAAGAAGGCAGGGCCAAGCTCTAGGCAGAGCAGATGAGAACTTATATCCCAGGAAACGGGCCAGAATGGGGTCACCCTTTCCCTTCAAGGAATCAATTCCTAAGTGTGACCTGCCTGGATTTACAGAGGAGATTAGTAAGAACAGAGGATTAAAGGGAGCTGTACATGCCAAGGGCAGTGTCGGGCAATTTATGGAAGCGAGAAGGCGAGCAGAAAGGTGGTTTCTGGAAACTTTGCTGCTCTTTCCTGCTAGATTAGGGTAGGTCCTCCCTCAGACAATTATGCCCAGCCGTGCAGGCTCACAGAGCTCAAGGCTGGAAGAACACAAGCAAGTCTAAAATCCTGAGTCCACCTGGGTTTCCCCACTTTCCCTGGTACGTCTTATTTCTGTTTCTTCTGTGTGTGGCCAACTCTGAGAACTCCTTTTTTTCTTTTAGAACCCGACACAGGCCTCCTTTCCCAAAGCCCACCCTACCTGTGAGTCCTATGGGTGCATCCTAGGGACAATGGATTTGACTAGAGATCCTGAAAACAAGGAACTGTGGGTAGATCCTGTTAACTTGGTTAACTATCTCAGCTAAAAAAAGGGCCACAGTGAACCTGTAGGTTATTGAGTGTATAGCAGTCAGATTAACACTGGAGGTAGAAAGATCCCCTGTGCCTTATTTTTCAATTCATCTGCAAGGGCAAAACAGTCTAGGTGTGCAAAGTTTGAAAGTACTACATTTCATGTGTATTTGAAGATGTTTATGTCATGCCTTTTGTGATATCATTATTTATGGTTTATGTCATGCCCCTTATGATATCAAACTCAGCCTGACCTATTTTTATGAAAAGTGTTTACTATTTACATTCACAGCTTTTCTTCCAGAAATGGTTCCCAGGATGACAGCTGTAGTTATCTCCTCCTTACAGGCATCTCATGACACAAGATTGACTTAACTTCACCCCTAGTATTTATAAACTATCTACTAGGGAGTAACAACATGATAGATAAGGTCATTCTCTTCCCAAACATCTTTCATCTTTAAATTCTTAGATTTGTGGACACTAAATCAAAATGTTCTGTGCATCAGTGGTGGGGGAGTTGTCCAAGCAGGCTGTTTAGTAGTTTGGGGCAAAGATCTGTCCCCAAAAGAGATCGTAACCTCCTGAGGGCTCAAAAAAAAAAAAAAAAAAAAAAGTTCCCGCTGGGCCCAGACGCATCTTTGCTCTAGCCCAGATTCCTTTCCCTGCTAGCCAGAGAGAAGCATGGGACAAGGGCGGTGTAACAGATGCCTGGGTTGCTGGAGCACCCCCACACGCACACACTTCGCGGGCTTCAACAGCACCCCTTCTCCGAGGTGTCTGAAAGAATCGTGGCTCTGGAGCCCCTCCAGACTTGTCCCTTGTGCCCCCCTCCCCTCCCCGCCTGTCACACTCCAGGCGCCTCCTTCCGTCAGTAATTGACAAACCAGTTCCAATTCGGTTACTCCTCCTAAGGAACACAGACCATCTCTAAACACGCCAATCCCCCAAGTCAAAAACAAGACACCCTGGTGATCTGCGAGATGAGTTAGTTGGCTGCGGCGTTTTTCCGAGGCTCTGGCTAAATTTCCACATTTGTGGATTCAGCCTCCATCTGCACCCCAACCCGATGGGGAGGGGGAAGCCTGTGGCTTCTGTTTGCCAGGCTTATTCCTACCTCCAGTTCTGAAGTCACCTCGACGGGGTGTCCACTGCGATGCCTCCTGCGACGGCCGGCGTGCGGATCGCGAGCCCCTGGCGGCGCTAATCCCTCGCGCCCGGGCCCCGCGCGCCCGAGACGCTGCCTGATCACCTGCCGCCGCGGGCGGGGCGCGGGAGGCGGGGGGGTGCTCAGCTCGGGCTCCCCGCCCGGGACGCCGGCCCCCTGCGCGCCTCCGCGCGGTCCTTCTGGAACCAGGTCCTGGCGGTCCGTTCCATGTCGGTGGGAGGACCCCTCCTCCCGCCCGCAGCCTGGGCTGGGACGTTATGAAAAGACTGTAATGGGATCCCAGCTCGGCCCGTCACTCCCCGGCTCACTTGTCAAAACTCCACAGCATTCCAGAATGCCTTCCCCGGTCACTCCCTGGCGGGGAGAAGGAAGCCGCCCGTGGGAGGGTTTCAGGGACTTGACGGTTGCCGGTGCAGACACCTTTGTTGACATCAAGCGCTCGGGTGGTGGGGGGGCGCTTCCCGCCGTAACCGGGAGCAGGTTTGGAGCCGATAACGCCCTTCCCAGATACCCTCGCCCGGTCAAAAGTTCTCCCCCGAGCCGCGGCGAGAAGCTCCACCTCCCCGGCACCAGTTCATTTCATAACCGCTCCGTTTCATAACCAGCAGCAGCGTGGGTTCTTACAGGGGGTGGGCGGGGGAGCCCCAAACCAGAATCACAACCATCACACCGGGCAGGATGTCAAGAAACTTTTCAGAAACCTCCAGAGTCTTTCTGCTACTTGAACCAAATTTACCACCGCTGAATTACAATCGCCCCGGTGACTGCACAGCTTAAGCATTTCCTTTATACCTTCTCCCGCTCCCGCGCCCCTCCCGTCATCTGCGGGGTTCAGTCAACAAGTCATCCCCGGGAGAGAGAATGAATGGGCTTGGGCCGCTCAGCCATCTCTCCAGCTGCAAACTGATGAGGAAGCCCGACCCACGAGGCTGAATTGTTTACATCACACCCACCGAAGGCTTCCTGTCTTAAATTAATGGGAATACAAATAAGACAGGAAAAGAGTGTTTGCTTTTCTAAAAGCGGAGGGAGGGCTCTCAGAGAGGGAGGGAGGGCTCTCAGAGAGAGGGGGAGTCACCCCACATTTCATTGCACGAAGAGATTTTTTTAAACTTCCAATTTTATTTTATTCCACTTTTCCACTTTTAACACTTGTTGAAAAGTAAAAGCATCGCTGTGCCAAACCTCAAACCATTAAGGAACTTCAGCTCACAACACATTTTCACCTGGCTTTGAAAGGGAGCCAGGTCGAGCTCCCAGAGGGAGCTAGAGGTATGGAGACCACCTGTGGTTGAATGGCACAAATCTAGGCACAAAACAAAGCCCTCTGCCTCCTGGGACTTGAGATGGACACACACTCCTCCTACTCCTTGGGCTTCATACCAGAATCTTGCCCCAAACCTATGTCTCTAAGCTATGGTTCTCTTTTTGGGCATCCAGCAACCCCTTAAAGTAAATTAGCTTTGCAAAGGATAGATCTGGTGGAATTCGAAGTAATTCATTATAAAGGAAGAGGCAAAAGAAGGCTTCAGTTCTCAGTACCATTACTGTTACTGGAAAGGGTAATTAGAGTCGGGGAGGGGCCAACCCATGTCAAGGCCAGGCTGGAAATCTGTCTTCTCTCAGAAGCAGCCCACAGAGCGCACTGGTAACTAATCATCATAATCACCAGTCCTGGAAATCGCCCTCAGTTGCTTCATTCAGATTGCACAACAGCAAACCCGGAGACAGGCAGGAATGCCAGGTGATGGTGGTCCTCCTTCGGAAGTACTAGAAGGAAACAAAACCCCAGGATAAAGTGTATCTCCAGGAGGTGTGGGTATTGCAACCAGCAATGATACGTGGCGTTTGGTAGAACACTACGGGTGTCTGATGAGAACAAGCTTTGTAAGCCATGCCTCAAAATACGGCAATTCCTTGGTCAAAACCAGTTAGGCTTATGATTTTAGGAAAAGCCAAGTACATCAGAACTCTTTTAGAGTGTCTGGCTTACAAATACTATAAGGTTTCAGTGAATGTTGGCTCCTCACCCCCCTCCCTATTCCCTCTCCTCTGCTTTGGGGTGGTAGCCCTGGTAGATTCATTAGCATACTTTTATGAGGCATCTCAGTATCTGATAAGTTTTATGGGAATTAGGTTCAAATTGAATGATTCTCTAATAATTTCAGAAGTCATCCTTTCTTCCCTTCTGATTGCTTTCCCCACTGACAGTTTCTTAATGCTTTACTTCTAACTCTCTACTCCATCAATCTGGTTATGTAATTTATGATGTGCAAACCAATGCTGTTTAAAGTAAATCCAGGATTTTAAATTTAATACAAATAAATATTTCCCCTTCCCCCACCGACTTTGTTGTCTAAGCTCAGTTTAGGGTGTGTATATGCCAGGAATTAAAATTTGAGCACATCTGTATAATAACTTAATTTCAGGAAAGATTTGGAATGCAGATGACATTCTCATCAGCGGGCTAGAAAGATAGGATATGCTTGGTCTTTTCCCTCACCGGTTTCACTGCTGACTGGAAAACAGATCAATGGTTCAGTAAACAAAGGGGTGCTTAAAAAGTGGTCTCTAATTTTACCCTAGGTCTGGTTTAAATAATACTTAACAATTGCTATGTGTACACCGAGTCTATAAGTAATATTAATTTGAGCAGAAACTGCTGATATGTTAAGAGAATTCATACACATGAAGGAAATGGTTCATTAAAGAGAGTTTAGAGTTCAGCACGAAGGCTGATTACAAAGTAATGTCCTGAGGGGTGATGATCAAAGTGACAGGCACAAATGGGGCTTATATATCTAGATTTGAGAAAAACAAAGACGTGAGGATCACAGCAGACCATGTATTCAATATGAGTCTGCGTACTGTACTGATAAGAAATAGGCAACACAACACTGGGGCGAGTTCACATTGGCAGGAGGTTGACATGAAAGGGAAGTGCCTCTCCCCACTTCTTCCTCCCCCATAATAAAGAATTTGGCAGCAGATAGACTCTTATTAGGGTGGTATGTCCAGTGTGAGGCCCCTTATTTTAAGGGAGATGGGGAGACACTGGAAAGGTTCCAAAGGAGAACCAAAATGATTAAAGAGACAGAAAATAGAACCTTTGAGGGAAGGTTAAAGGATTTGCAATTGTTTAGTCTAGAGTAAAAACTGCCTAAAGGCAAACTTAACAGTCGTCTCCCATTTGAAGGGTTATTATAAAGAGGATACCGACCAGCTGTTCTTCATCTCCACAGGAGACAAAAGAGGTAAGAGACACAAATGCAACATTAAAATTTGGGTCAGACATGAAGGCTTGCTTGATGCTAACAGTAACTGACTTGACACTGACATCACTGGACAATCTTCACCTATCAGACTCCCTTTTAAGTGATAGTCTTGCGTGTTTAGGCAGGAGCTGGGCTAGAGAACGCCCCCTTCCATTCCCTTCTAGGGCTAAAGTGGTCGTCATTACTCCATTGAATGTGGGAGCAAAGATCCTGAGCATCCACGCTCTATGCTCACAAATAAGGCACCACAAGAATGTGATCTTCCCCACAAACATATGCCCACATCTCATTGGACCTTTGTTTATTGGAATGGGTATCTCTAATATGTCCAACTCTTAGATACTGAATAGGTGATGTATATTTAAGAGACTCACTCCTCTTTATTTTTTCTCTGTACAGGCAACGTTACTTTTTGTTTAGTGGGCACACAAATATTAGTTGATGATGATGTTAATGAAAATTATAGCTATGGATTATTAAGTTCTTACTGTAATTAGGTTGGGCACTGTGCTAACAACTTTATGTAGATTATCTTTTTTTTCAGGAGCCCTGTGAAGTGGGACTAATTATTAGCCTTATTCTGACACAAGGAAACTGAGTCACAACAGGGTTAAGTAATAAAGCTAGTAAATGTTGGAGTTCCCAATTCAAACCCATCTAGTTTGACTCAAAAGGGTGTGCTTAACGATTACACCTCTGCCTCTCATCAAGTATTTTTACCTCTCGGGAGGGAGGAAACATTGCAAAAAGAAGCATTTACGCTTGTTGGCCCAAACTGAGTAAAAACCAAGACTTCTACAGGTTTATTTACATCACCTGGGGAGTGCAATCATTTTTCCCCAGCATAAGAGAGGAAAGGACTGGCTTTGCACTTTGCCTTCTGATCGGAAGCATACATTGCTGTCTCTCACCAAGCTGAAGAATCCAATCAAGGTTTACCTCTATTTTGTTATTTAGAGAGACTTCACTGTTCATCTGTAATCTAACCTTGCATATAGTAGGTCTTCCATGACTGTTGAAAGAATGAATACAAATGCATTACAACAGTGATGCTTTGAGACAAACTGAGCTGAATTAAGTTTTTGTAGCATGCTGGTGGGCGGACTCTGGTGGATCATTTCTCTGGGTCTCTTATCAGAGGTCCCCTGAGTCTTAAAATCCAACTGTTTCCTTTTTTTTTAAACATTTTGTTTATTTATTTGACAGAGAGAGACAGCGAGAGAGGGAACACAAGCAGGTGGAGCGGGAGAGGGGGAGAAGCAGGCCTCCCGACGAGCAGGGAGCCCGATGCGGGGCTCGATCCCAGGACCCGGGTATCATGACCAGAGCTGAAGGCAGACGCCTAACGACTGAGCCACCCAGGCGCCCCCCAGCTGTTTCCTTTAATTCAACATCTATGAGAAAACATAAGAATGGGTCACATATTTTTCCCCTGTCAACTACTTTTAGATCGAGAAAAGATTTTTAATGGGGTTTATTAAGTGCTGTTGTTTATCAACAATAGATGATTCATGAGTGAAACAAACATCAAAATGATTTTTAGAAAGGCAAATGAACCACACACAAAAAATTAAATGACTTGATCCAAATTACTACAAAGGACAGATATTTTCCCATTAGGACAATTTATCCTGAGTCTATAAACAGAGAGGGGCATAATTATCCATGTGTTTGCTAACAGATCTAAACCTTATGTAGCTATAAAAAGCTGGAGAGAGGAAGAAAGAGGAAATTCCCAGGAGAAGATCCCCAACCACATCCAGGGCCATCAGATCTCCATAAATACAAAGCCCAGCAGTGGCACCAAGTGAAGCATGAGAAGAAACCTCAAGATTTTAACACAAGCCACAGAAATAACTTTGAATTGTGTTAAAACTAAACAATGACAATTCTACCCAATAAACTTGCAGCTGACACATGGACAAAATGGTGACTTATTGGTGTTCCAGATGTAGTTAATAGAAACATGATGCCCAGAATAAAAAAGGTATTCAGTAAATGTTGATTGGATGTACAGAAGAGTGAATGAATGTCTGAACAGATGCCCAGGCTGCCTCTTTCCTCCTTTAAATCTCTGTTGGAAAGATGTCTCCGAGGCTTCAAGCCCAAAGCCCCCACAGAGGGGTTGAACAATCTGACACTGGTACTCTGGGAACAGTTGATGCAACCAGAGATGGTGTCCAACCCAAAGAGGCCAATTTGTGACCTTGCCATAAATACAGGAAGGGGAACTGCAGTTACCTGTGAACCTTGATTCAAAAGCTCCCATTATTTACAATATAGATTCTAAACTATTTGAAGTCCAACAGAATCAAGCATTAAGTGGCCAGCATCTATTGAACACTTACTGGATGCTGGGTTTTATTCTAAGCCCCTTGTATATTAACTCATTAAATCCTTATTACATTCTTAACAATATGTACTATCCTTACCAACCTGTTTTCCAGGCAATGAAAATGGGCTAAAAGATTCCTTCAGGAGCTCACGGTCATGTAACTAGTGTGTGGAGGAGCCAGAATTCAAACAAATTCCACCTGGAACCAGTGTGGGCTCTTTGGCTACCCAATGTTACCTGTCTGAATCCTACCTCCCACCACTCCTCAGCACAAACTCACTATTCCAATCAAACCGTTTATCCACAAATATTCAAAGAACATTCTCATCTCTGCAGGATGTGTTCCCTGACCTCCCCAGCCCACTCTTACCTCTCTATTCTGAGTGTTCACATCCCTTTTTCTCCAGTGAACACAACTGGAACTTAACTTGGCTCCTATCACATCTCTCCAACTAGATGTTAAGTTCCTTCGGGGGTTTGACAGTGTGTTGTATGGAAATCTGGGGATGTAGTCTGTAGAAAGACCTAGATTTAAAGTCCACATGCCGTAATTATCACCCATGAGACCCTGGGTAAATCATTTAATTTTTATTACTCTTATTGGAACCATATTCCTTAAGGGCTTATCGGGGAGGAGAGCTTAAATGAAAAAATGTATATGAAGTGTTGGGGATGATGCCTAATATTGTAAGCCTGTGATTCTCAACCACCAGCTATTTTGCCCCCCAGGGGACATTTGGCAATGTCTGGAAATATTTCTGATAGTCATAACTGGAGAGGGGTGCTTCCGGCATCTGGTGGGTAGAGGTCAGTGACGCTGCTAAACATTCTACAAAGTATAGGACAGGCCCCTGCAAGAAGGATTATCCAGTCCAAAATGTCAATGACAATCGTGCTGAAGATAAGAACCCTGCTACACACTATTAAAAATTTATTAAAAATGTTTCCATTCCCCTCCCTTTCCTTATTTTTTTACAGTACTGTGCTTATGGTAGGTATTCAGTAAATCTTTGTTGAGTAAACCTATTCATAAGTGGGTAAGTGAATGTATGAATCCTAAGACATTTTACTAGTAAACACCGGACTGGAGGGTGTGGTCCAGCCATGGCAGGGGTTGGGTGGGAGTTAATTAACTTAGAACCAGAACTTTCCAATATCCA